TAAATTGCTTATTTTTCCTCCGCCTTCCTCCATGAACCGGACCTTTTGGCCCGCTCGGCCCTTCAGCGGCTCAAGAGTCATCTACTTTTATTGCAGTTAATGCTCCACAGTATAAAAAAAACAACAGCCGTGATACACAGGGAGTTTCCAGCCTGGGCACCCGACATAAGTGCCAATCAATTTTTAATCACAGTTGACTCAATAGCGACGGCTTAGATTTGAATAAAACAGCAAGCAAATGTAAGATCTGATAAACTGTGACTGAATTTGCTCATTTATTTATTTGCGTAGTAAAAAAAAAAAAAAAAAAAAACACTCGCCCTTCAATCCTTAGTTGTGTTTTGTGACACAAAAGTGCACAATCTGAGGTCGTATTGCAAACAACACAAGTCCCCTTTAAAAGCCGCCTTATGTGAAATATTTAAATATTCATTTTTGCGTTTTTGTTTGATATATGCTGCAGCAATAAAGTGAGATTTAAATGCCTATTTGAGAGTTTCTTCACTTCTGCTTAATGGATAAGGGAACTTTTTATGACCGGCACTTTGCCCCTCTTGTAGTAATAGCAGTGCCGCCTATTTTCTTTATTTCTGTAAGTTCATAAAACTGTATTTGAATGTTTAATAGAGCAAAGCCTGACAATGCTACAGACCTTTAAGTGTAAATCTTAAAACATGCATGCTAAAACGCCAGTACACGTGTGAGACAAAGTGCCTTATTTGCTGCTCTAACAGCGTATCCGTAAACAGTCACGTATTGGGAACACAAAGATGTTTAGCTGTTGATATATGACCGCACGTCCCGAGAAAGAGGTAAGCAACAATTTGTCTCGCATGCAAATATGTAAATGACAAAGCTGCATCTAAGTGGCTGATTGTGGGGAAAAAAAGAGACACTGCAATAAATGAGTGGCATATGGTTCCAGTCGCCTCTTTGTTGGCAATTCCTATACACAAGGCAATATAGGTGGAACTGCAGAGGCAGCAGAAACCTTAACTGGAGCCTTCTGCTGCCTTCCTGTAATGACAAAATGAAGTTTGGAGTTTGAAAGTTTTGCTCAAGTTTGTAGGTTTTTTTTTTTGGTTGAAAGACAAAAGGAGGAGAAGCAGAGTCTCTAATAAAATAGTTGTCGCTCCTCATTTAGCATTCTGTACCTTTCTATTAAAGCCTTATTTCAAATTAATGCGGCACTTTTTATCTGCTACGTGCTTTAAGGTCCATTATCACTGTATCTAACCTGAGAGGCAGCATCCCACTGAGTGCCAAGATGTAAAAACTGTCCAATGAGTCTCAACAATATGCAAAGCTCCCCTGTTAATAATTCATGTCTGAGTTTACAAATGGCACTGTTGCGCAGAGACGAATCAGTCGAGTCGTTGAAATGCTGTTTGGAGGAGATGAAAGTTTAATTCCTGTCCTAGATTACTCCTCCTCATATCTGAGCAGGCCCATTATTTTGCCTCCACCAATGTTTTCCCGCTCGCTTTAATAGGAAATGAAGGGAGACATAGGCTGCAGTGGCGGGACACGAGCCGTTATGTACTCACAGAGGATCCTCCCTGATAGGTGACAGCTGGGGCAGCTATTTGCATCACTGTGTGAGGGAGCGTCCTGTTAGGCCACAAGCTGCTGGAAGGGAAACAGGGCCAGTACTGTAAATGTTGCATGGTAATGTGTGTACGTGAGTGGCACATACTGTAACGTACGCAAGAGGAGAAAGACAACGACAGAGGACAAAAGGACATCTGATGAAAAGGACAGCATGGCTGAGAATATACATCAAAACAAGTCTGGGTTTTCAAGTTTGAGAGAGAGAGACAAGATTTTAGTTTTAAAAGTATTTAACTGGCAGTTTCTCTGACAAGCTGCTTCTTCAATTTAGTGAGCCAAGCTATTAGTTACTCCCCATTTAATTTAGCCTCCTACACCAAAACTAACCCCCAAAGACATTTAGAAAGCTAAGCTAAAGCAACATGCCAAAAGTAGTTTTCATAAACTGTATTTATCTGATAGGATTCCCTCAATGATGATGATGGTGATTTATTATTCCAAGTATTACAATATATTGGCCAGTTTCATTCAATATAAAGCCTATTTTTTTTTTGTATGGCTCTGTCCAAGAGTTAAATTTTTTTTTTTTTACACAGAATGCCACTGAACTTTAAGACCCACTCCCATGAAAATCATGTTTTTCTTCTTTCTTCTTATGAGAAAACTAAATGCGAAATTTCTTTTCTGAGTATTTCTTCATTCAAATCGTTGTGAATCTCTAACAGACCCGTCATCATGGTGTGTTTGTGAGAGCAGAGTGTTTGAAGCTATGTAGTTGCACATATCGTTTTGGGAAATTGCATTAAAAGGCAAGGGAAGTTTATATGTATCACACCATTCATACACAAGATCATTCAAAGTGCTTTACAGATGCAAGAAGATATACTAGAAATCAAAAAAGGAATTAAAACAATTTAAAATCAATAAGACAAACAGATACATGCAGTAGCGGTTCTAGGCACGGGCGAACAGGGCAGCCGCCCGGGGCGGCATTTGTGTCATGACTCATGGGGGGCGGCACGAGCACTTCCAAATAAATAAAATAAAAGATAATAATAATAAATCTTAACCACAAAGCGGTTTTGTATTAACTCTTGTTGTCAAATTGGCGCCCCCCCCCCCCCCCCCCGCTGCTGTAGGCGCCCCTGCTTGCTCCGAAGGTGCTGCACAGAGGCTGACAGACTATAGGAGACGAGGCGGGGAGAGAGTCGCGGGGGGACAGCTCTGCTCTGTGTACGCATGTCAGCATATCAGCGGGAGCGCGGATACGTCATTTTGTAGTTTTTTAATCATTTCTGGAGTCGTGGTGAATGAAATCACCGTACCCGTCTGCCTTTGATAGGCGAATAAAGCGCTCGGGTTCATGCTCGGATCTTGCTACGTGCTTGATGAGCTTCATGAGTAAAGTAAACAATGACTGAGGCAGAGAGCAGCTTCAGAGGAGAAACATCCAGCAGTGTGAACAACCGCTTCATATGGAGGTCTTTGGCTCACACTATCAGCGTTTTCTCTGAGTGTTGCATGACTTTGGGTGAGAACAGAGATGAACACACTGTCAGCCTCGAATTTATTTATTCATTTTCTAGTTTTTAGTTCTGCTTTTGTACTGGCACTATACTGGGGCAGCTGTATACCCTTTCAACACCTTATTTTCTATATTTACATTTGTATTGAATGGACACTTTATCATGACTGCCACTTGTTTTACAGAAAGCAAATTATTTGTCATTCTCCAGTGCAGAGCCTTTACTTTTATTTATACAGCTGCTTTATTTCATTTGAGTTTGTTTGTTCAAGGTTTTCAAAAATGTGATGAAGGTTCGCAAAACTAAAAGAGAGCTTTCTTGAAAGCCTCATGTTTAAGCTCTCAAATACGTTTTGAATTTTGTTTCTATCTACTACAGAGGCCAAGATAGCAGCTTTTTTGTAAACCTCAACACTTCAGAAAACCTCAGGATCTGGGGGCCCTTCTCAAAATGGCCCTCAGGATTGTGGTTTTTTCTATTGAGGGATTTCTGCAATTGAGAAATATAATATTTTTGTTGTTATAATAATAATAATAATAATAATAATAATAATAATAATAATAATAATACTACATAGTAATACAAAACTATCTGTTCAAAATTCTATCTCTTTGTGTGTGTATGTGTGTGTGTGTGTGTGTGGGGGGGGGGGGGGGGGGCGAGTAATTTGGTCTAGAACCGCCACTGGATACATGTTTTGTCTGTTTCGTGTTTGACCTTATTTATAAAAATCGTCATTTACCGGAAAAACGAAATAAATCACAAGCTTTTGGACAAGGATCATGGCGTGTATCATGGCACTTCTGCATCCTTCTCTCCACCATGACAGTGCGAAATGCTGCTCCAGTTTGCACGTGCCTTTCAAATGTGCTAAATATAGACGCAAAATAGCAACCGTAATCGGTTCCCGGGTTTGGTAGATCACACTGCGGGTGCTAAATGATTTCATTTGCACCTGCTCCTCCTAGAATTTTGCACGTTCTGATGATCTACGTACACTCTGCACATTCATTCTGCGCTGTTAGCTTATGCTGCGTGTCTGCACGACCCCAGGCTGCTGGGTTCCGAGTTTTTGCGAAGCGTGAAGTACAATGACATCATGCCATATGTGAGTAGATAGTCTACTATGGTTGTATTTCTGTGTTTCAGTCTGCGTGATGTACAAATACTCAACAGTTTGCTCCGTGAGACTAGAGGTAGCCAGGAGCTTCAGGCAGCAGCCAACATCAGTCTTTGAACACAGCGTCCTGCTGGTTCTCAACTTTGTAGTGGGCAAATTAAGCTTTTGTGGACACTATCTTTCTACATGCCAAAAAAAAAAAAGGTAACAAAAAGATATCTAATCTGTAAAATAGTGACACTACCACGAAGTTAGAAATGTCGTCCAGCTGCTCATTACTGTTGACTAGAAACAGCAAAGCCACTCTCCCAAATGCACAAATATTCAACATATATTCAAATTTATTGCACTTCCCGTTTCTGCCACAAGTTATTTTATCCAGTGCCATTGCAAGATCAGAATTTTAGTATTAAAACAAATAGAAGGCCTGACCATGGAGCCGTATACCACTGGATTTTTCCCACCAGGCCCATCCCAAGTTACAGCAAGTGTTCAATCCCCATTCCAAAAAGTAAATATGAATTTTGAAAGAAAACAAGGTAACACTTTACAATAACCATAGTTTATAACTGGTAAATAGATAGTTTATTAATATAAAATAATAGTTACTTTACCATTAACAAGCAGTGAAATTATGATTAATGATTTCATTAATTATTAATGGACTATTTATTAAGGGTTCATATAGGGTTTAAATACTGGTTGTAAAACATCTTGATTTACATGTGTGCCAGTAGCACTTTGTAAATGGTTAATATTAGGTTTATAAACCACCTATAAAGATCACTTTGATGGTTATTGTAAAGTTAGGGTTAGGGTTAAGGTTTTTAAAATTATAAAATTTACAATTTATTAATGGTCTATATGCTATTTATAAATGACTATTACACATTAATAAACTATCTACTTACCATTTATAAATGGTCTATTTACCATTTATAAGGTATGGTTATTGTAAAGTGTTACCGTAAACAATTTTGAGGGTCGCAAGTTATTCACACCCTTTAGTTTTAATGAGAATAGTGCAAAGACAACGTATCAAGGGTCAAAATGGTACAATGGGATTGTTTCATGAAAAAGACATGCTCATTTTAAATTGAGAGTGTGGTTTGGGATTGTGTTGCTGCAAAATGCAAGGTCCTGGATGGCAGCATATGTTGCTACAAAACCTGAATTGTTAGGCATTCATGTTGCTTTCAAAGATGTGTAGGTTTCCAACGTTAGGGTCATCATCACAGATGTGCTGATAAAAAGTCTGGAGGTCCTTGCACTTGCACTTGGCTTTATAAGCACTAAGCTTTATCAGTCTGTCTGAAACGGATCGAGCTCAGGGGAGTCACTGGCATTTCTGGTTTGTAGGTATAATGGTTTCCTCTTTGCACGGTACATTTTGAACCTGCTTTTGTGGATTGTCTGCCCACCAATCAGCTGACTGACATGGATTAAAATCAGAAGAGGCATTAAGTAGCAGCTTTACTCACTGTATCTAGTCCCCAGTCCGCCAGGTATCAGCCGAATTACACCACTAAAGAGCTCTGTTTGGCATTACACACATCACCCAAACCTTGGAGAGCTCTGTGTGCGTGGGCTCCTGTACATCAGCATGCTGCTGTGGTAAGAGAGGAAGCTTTGTCAAAGAATCTGAAAGCCCTTTGATAAACGCTGAGGGCCACCACCTTAACTCTCTCTCTCTCGCGCGCACACGCCGTCTCCCAATCCCCCCCACCCACTTACTCCTAACCTCCTCCTCTCTAGAAAACTGAGTCAGATGTGATCAAAGGTACGTTTGAATTGTTTCTCTGCCTCCAGGTCTTTGGTCAGAGCACTTGTTGTGTTTAAAATAGAGCAAAAGGTGAATCCTACCCCAGTATTGATCACTTTCAATCCTACATCTCTCTGATATAGTTTCATCGTATATAAAGCGAAACAACTCCTTTAACTTGCAGTGTTAAAATGAAACTTCCAGCATATAACTTCACACATAGGAGTGTAACTTAATATACACCCATACACTTGGCTGCAGCGGCACATACACAATCACACCTTCACACCAAAGAGATCTAATTTGGTAGTCATCTCAAATGGAGGCTGCAGATAACACTAAAAACAACAACTTGTTCATCATGGATATCAAAAGTGACACACAGTTAGCACTTTAGGATATTCTTGGACTCATTTCATGCACCATAATGCAGCTTCTGTGAGGACCAGCAACTATTAATCTGAGCAAAATTAGTGGTATATGAGAGACAGCTAAGTCGCCTTTGGAAAAACTTCCCCCTGCATCTGTACAAATGAATAAATTAAAGGGAAATGGATTTATTCATCGCAATCCTTCACAACTCCATCCTTGCCATTTTGGATTGTTTGCATATATCAGAAGGACAAAATATACACAGCAAAACTGCAAAATTGGTGTACAATGAATTTGGCTTCACACATTTTCAAACAGTTAGAAAACAAAGCATTCACACTACAGCTGCTGAATAATACATCAGCCTTTTTTTCTGCAGGAAAGTGTTGACATTAAATACTGTGTGATTATATAGAAGAACTTAGAGTCATTACACACAGCACAATGTTTTTGAGGAACCTCTTGTCAGATTTTCTCGGTGCTCTCATCCATTTTCGTCTTTTAATAAGCTGTCGACTCAGAGTTTTGTTGTCTGGTATTACTCATGCAGCTTCTAACTTTGAGTTTTGTGGCAGTCTGCCTTGGCTGTTGTTTTTATGTACATTGTCCAGTTCATTCAAACTTACTTTATCACTCTGCTCTCGCTGTGATACGGCCATCTTATCAGCCTTCTGATATTCGACAAAATCTGCAAATCTCTGAATTTCCACCAGGAGGAAATCTCCTCTCGGGTCGGTAAATCTCGTCAGGTGACCAGTACCTTCAAGTTATGGTCTTTTTCCAAATAGTAGTGAGTTAAAGAGAGGGCTTACTCTTTCACAGTTTTACTTGTATTTTCTGGTTCAAATGTGATGAACTGAATAAAGACGGTGGTTCTCTGTTTGCTTTGGGGCTGGAACTGTATGATGGTTTGTTATTGTGTTGTTTCCTAAAGTATAAATATGAATATTTAGAGATATCAAGCAGTCAGACACTGAAATGAAATGCTCTTCTACTCACTCCTTCCCTCACTGAAGTGATGGTGGCCTTCGAGGAAAAAAAAAGCTTTTGTGATGCATGATAAATATTATCCCAAGTTTTCTTAGCCTTCAAAATGTGCACCAATAGAAATTGTTTTGCACACAACAACAACCTCTCTCTTCTTTGTTTTCCTAACAGTACTACGAAAGCCAATGTGTCTGAACAATCTTTATAAGGAGAAACGTGCTGCAAACGCAGAAACAAAACTTCAAAAGCACGTTGCAGAAATCCAAAACAAACAAAATGGATGAAATGCACTGCAAATGAAAAACAAAAACAAAAAAAGTACTACTAATACAAAGTGAAAAAACACATAAACACATAAAGCAATTGCAAAAACTGTAAAATAGCAGTGCTCCAGGCAGGTGGAGCTGGCTAACAAAGTAAAGGTGAGACATTTTGACTTAGAAGTCGATGTCTTGTCTTGGTCTGTGCGTGTTTTTGTGTCGCTGACAGACCTGTAAATCGTGTGTGTCTCTGCGTTTGAATGTAGAGCATAAGCAGAACAAACGTAATGCTTAAACAAAATGCTTAAATAATTCAAAACATCAGTATTTTAATTCAGTTAAACTTTGACTAAGGCTACGTTCACACTGCAGGTTATGATGCACAAATTCAATTTTATGTTAAATCCGATCTTTTTGTTCAGTCGTTCACATTACAACAACAACAAATGCAGCATCTAATGTGAGCAGAATGTGTCTGTGAAGTGACCCGGATGCGCACAAAGCACAAATTGCTTTCAGTGCCTGTTTGTGTTGTCGAACAATGGTGATGTTTGTCACATATTGATGACGTATAGGTCGGATGAACGCGACCTGATCGTCCACACTGCAGTCACATCAGATATATATCCGATTTATATACACATACAAATTGAGTAGTAGTCGCTAGAATTATTACGACAATATAAGAGAATAAAGATAGCATTGAAACGGTCACTTTTTGTGCAAAGTTAGCATTTGATGGCCATTTATTTCAGTTTAAGTCAACTTTACATGTCTTCATTAGCAACTGAACATTGAAAGTCACCACAGGCAAAGTCAGAGGACAAACTTTGAAGCATGTGTCCCAGTCGGTTTTACTGGATGTTTCATGAGTTTCACAAAATATCATCAGTTAATCACTGCAACTTTTTTCAGAAGGCTGCCACAGAATTTAGTATTTTTGGCTGCAACAATCTCAGAAAAGCTCAGCAAAGTCCTGGGGATAGTAATTCTCTGTGTTTAAGACCTGACAATTGCACTTGACTTTTTCTAATTTCCCCATTTGAATTCACAGTTAAAGATCAAGATGCTGATCAAAGTGGGTGATTGCTTTTGGAGATCTTATGGGCACCACTTTTGGGAAGTCCTATAACTTGGTCCACAGGAGGATCAGTTCTGCTATCTCGAAAATAAGCCGGATGATATCAAAATATTTTAATATAAAATGAAATATCATTTAAATAGTTAAAGCATAGGACAGGACAGAAGCAAGATAGAGAAGCTGAATGAGACAACAGGAGGATGTACCAAAAGTTTTGAAAGATCAAAAGGGGATTTTAACGCATATTTGTTTTTTTTAAGTGTGGATGCAACATCTGATTTCTGATGCTGCATTCACATAAGAATCAAAATGTGAACCCAAGATTCATGCTATCTTCTAGCTTCAATAATCTCCAACTTCCTGATTCTCTGACCTCACACCTGTAAACACCGTCTTTCCAGCAGGATTTAGTCACAGTGAATTCAAGAAGTCTATCTCTGAGACAGTCGAGGCTTGTCCTGCCAGCTTTCTAAAACCACTGAATCTCTTCAACCGTTTGCATTTGTGTCCCAAAGCACATGAGCATCCAAGCTGTGTGCTTATCTCTCCTTCTCCCCGGTTTCTCCTCCTCGTCCTCTCTTCCCACATAGGCTTCTCTGTGCAGGACTATCAACTGTCCTGGGACCCCTCCCTCTCCCCACTCCAGATGTTTTGGATCCAGATATTTGCCCTCAAAGAGATTCAGCCTCCTCTCTCGTGTCTTCTTGTGTGCTCATCGTCCTTGCCTCTCTCTCATACTCTGTTTGCTCCCACTATACCTGTGTGAATGCTTGCAGATAGTGGATGCTATATCAGAGAGACAATCATAGTCAAGGAAAGTCCCAAAAAGTTATTAATTCAATGCACGAGCCCGCTGGTAGATTTATTTAATATCTGTGAAAGCCTGCTTGAATCAGTCATTGACAAAAGGGAAGGTCATAGCAGTAACAGTGTTGAACTGTGCCTGACATCAGATGCTGAGAAGTGAAGAGCGGCAAAGGCTTTCATACATCTTTTCAAGAGGTAAATAAAAGACTGTTTTAATCAAAAAATGGAAGTGAGAATTATTTCAACCAAAACTTGGGTGTACTGCAGATGAGGGCGGATAAAGTACTTCAGTAAAGTAATAACATTTGATTGATATAATGCCGCACTCAACGTTTTCAAGTATATGGATTTCACAGATTTGATTCAAACTCAACATTTAGTGACTTGGATACAGTAATTAAAGGCTAATAGTCAAACATGACTTGGATCATCATGGATGCCAAGAAATCGGGCAAAGTTAAAAAGATGTTTGGTGGCTAGTGCTGTGGCTAGGACCCTATATGTACTGTTGATGAAGTTAGGTGCTGTTCTGAACATTATTTGTGACTACAGAGTGGCGTTTTGGTTGAGGTTTGTTTATGGCTCCTCAGACTGCTGTGTATTGCTATCGTGCGGTCATGACTAAAGTTGGTATAACTAGAGAAGCAAGTGGAATATCCCTTTAACACTGGGCAACTTTGAGCAACATATGCTGACCTCCAGGTAATACTTATTCTGGAAGGACCTTACATAATACTGCAAGAAGATGTCATAATACATTTTACAGATATCGCAATGGCAAACTCAAACTCCAAAAAATGGTCACCTGGGTTTCTAAACATTTGCACTGTTGCTGGTATCAAGTTTATTTTTTGCAAATCAATCAAATTTTTCAGTTTCAACTGTTAATATTTTGGACTTCACACACTTTTTGTCATAATATGTTTTGGTACGTTAGTTCTGTCCTCGTGTTGTTTATTTGAGTGCTTTTTCTGTGTATTTTCCCTAGTGTTTCTGTTCCCTATTGCTCCTGTTCCCCTGTAGTCCTGTCTTGTGAGTTTTCAGTTTGTGTCTGACTCTGTTTCCCTCATGTTTTCAGTATTTCATTCTGTCGATCAGTTTTCAGTTTTTCCTGTTTTATTTTGTAGTAGCCCACCCTTGTGTGTATAGTTTTGTTTTACTTCCTCAGTTTTCTTTCCCAAGTGTCTCACCTGCCTCTCGTTGATCGTTTCCCTGTGTGTATATATAGTCCCTGTTTTCCCCTGTTTCTTTGTTGGTTCATTGTGTGTTTTTCAGTGTGTGCATATGCCTGTGTCCCTGGTTGCTCTCTGTGATTTTGCCTCTAGTGATTTTATGTGGATTTTGCCTTTTGGATTTCGTCTTTTTGTTCCTTTTTTATTTCGTTCTTTTAAAATAAATCATTTTTTATTCTGCATTTTGGGCCCTTTCCCTTTTTGTTGAACTCAGGAGCAGGAAACTTTTAAAAGTCTAGAACTTTTAATTATATTCAAACCATCAAAATCTGTTTTTGTGACCATAGTATACAACATCCCAACTCTTACGGAATCAAGGTTGTACAAGCTGAAAAACAAAAAATAAATAAAAAATAAAAACATTTTAAATTGTTGGAAAACATTAGATGTTTCTTTGAATCATATCAAATCTGTAAAAAAAAAGAATTAAGCGGGGCATCCTGGATCTAAAAAGGTGTTAGTTTGAGATGTTCTTTGGATGGTGATTCATGCAGTTACACAAAAACAAGAAAAGGTCTGAGGCACTCAAAGATTACAGTTTCTTAGCACCTATTTGACTTCCTCATGGTTGAAATGCATTATAGTTTGTTTTTAATGTCTACATGACCATGCTATGGCAATAAAGCCCTTGGATCGATTCCCTGTTTGTCTTTCAACAGTCATTCTGAAACACTTGCTCATTTTAACCAGCTTGAGGACAGTTTTTGCTGGTATTGACAACAAGAAATATGATCATGCACAAGGCCTCCAAGCTCCGCTCAGGGAGAATATTTTGCCTCACATAAGAAGCCCTGATCAGGTTTGATGTATAAGTGGAAGGTCATCCTCTGATAACCTCAGAAGATTGCTTCTCTTGATCTGACTAAGTGTGGAGGATGGCACTCTGATCACAGCCGTCTTCTGAAACCCGGTGAAGGCTGTTGATCAAATGTAGTGTGGAGTGTGTTTTTTATCCATACTCTGGAAGTTTTCTGGGAAAAATCAAAATCTAAAGATGTAGCAGGGTTTAAAACAAGGGAATATAACCACTTAACTCTATCTTTTTTGTAGCAGATTCAAGAACCACATCAAGAATTTGTTGGATTTGGACCAGAAGTGTACAGCATTAGTCGGTTTTCCGTAGACCACTTGTTATTAGCCCCTCTAACAGAATTATTTGGATCATCTTCAAATCTGTCAGATTATACTTTTATCAGTGCAAATTGGTGTTAGCAAAGCAATTAAATTTTGACAGACTTCAAAATTGGGATTGAAGATGATTTTGGCATAACAAATACAGGGAGCTTTTGGCAGTATCAACACTTGACTTGAGGTTGTTTTAAGTTAAAGGCAAACTATAACACTAAACAAAAGCATTAGCTGCGTAATTTTTTAATAAAGTTTAGGAAAAACTTTTGGTCATTAGTGAATGTTGGTAAAAATTAGTGTGGGATCTCAATTACGACACAGATTATAGGATAACAAAGAGGCTGAATCCAGGTGCGCAGTAACTGATACAGTGGGTAAATGAATCCTCTACAGAATTATACACAGGTGCTGAAATACACTTGTAATGAATGCACAATACTGGAGGTGCATGTTTGAAGCAGGTTTGTTTTTTTGTCCTCTTTTCTTATAAACACAGTCGGAATTATTGGAGAGTGGATACATGAACCATTGCCAGAATCTCCCCAGTTGTGCTCACTTGGAAACGGATCTCTGCAACTACCAAAACTGAAAATTTCTAACTTGCGTTGGCAGGTTTTTGTTGGCGCTTCAAGGACTCTTCTCTGCCATTTGAAAAGCCAGAGACAGCCGGTTTTTGCTGAAAGGTTAAATTTTCAGAAAAAAATTCTGCTTCTCTTGAAACTTTAACCAAAAGATTGAATAACCTCCCTGGCTGCTCAGAATATTTAGTCGAGTTTTTTATCTTCATAGGGATGGAAAATATCAGAAATCTCTGATATGTTTGCCTTGTTGAAAGTTGTTGTGATTAATATGTTTTCTGTTACTGCATTATGATTTTCATCTATCAGAAAACTCTGAAATCTTAAAGCCTGTATTGCAAACAGCTCATTAAAAAAAACCCCAAAGTAAGCTGTAGGGACAGAACAATCCTCCATGGAGCAGAAATGGAGCAAGCTATTTATTTGAAGCTTACATGAGGCTTCAGCTGGAAAACTTCCAGATAAATATCCACTTATATTACATTTTCTGTCTATAACCATACACTAAGCTGCTTTCCTGGCAAACACAAAAAGAAACTTGTATACTCAAAAGGCTTTTATGTTGGAAGATGAAGTTGATTTGTCTAACTCGGTCTGCTAAAGCTTCTTTTGAGTGAAGTTCAGAACAAGATGAGGATGGTGGATTTTGTCTCTTATTAGAGCAATAATGAGGGGCCTTTGATATAAACAGGAGAAACAATCACAGCAGGAGAGATTATTTTCACTCGGGTATTTGACCACATGGGTGTTTCTCGGGGTGGCAAGGAGCGCCAGCTCTCATCTGACAGGCTGCATCATGAGCTATGGTGGATCTGCAATTGGGGCTTCATGACTTCAGATTTTCACCTCAGGATTATTGAGGCCGTTTATAGAAAATTTAAAAATAACCGATTTATCATCAGCCCTGTAAACAAAACTTCTTCAGAGAAGACATTACCTCATTAAACGGTTGTATGTTACAATTCTATTTTTATACTTTTGTGTCTCAGGTTTTCTTTTTCCTTATTTTGTGTATGCTACTACCACTACATAAGTAACAAAACATATTCAAAACAATTGAAGGGCTGCTTCAGTTAGCTTGCTAGCATTTCTTCATTTATTCTCTGTTACATAATGTGAAACCAGTGTAAAAGACCACTGCTATGTGCCACGGTATTACCATGTGCTTATTTAAAGACCCACTTCAATAAAAAAAACGTGTTTTTCTTGTTGTCTACATGTTCATATGGCATTTTTCTGATACTAGAGGACATATCTTGAGGGAAAAAAGCGAGAAATTGCATTTTTGAGTATTTCTGCATTCATACCACTGTGAATCTCTGGCAGACCCAAAAGGCAGGATCATATAGTGAGATTTCATATGTAACCAATTCAAGCTACGCCCCTGGAGCCCTGCTATGCAAGCCAGGCTCGGAGAAATAGAGAGGATGATCACGGAACAAACGTGTGCATTAACGGATTGAAATGCTCGTAAGAAAGCTGATCATGATATTAGCTTTCATCATGCCCCTAAGGATATTTGTGTCCGAGAGCTGATAGCTACACCGGCAATGTTAGGCTGCAAGCTAACTCGAGGAGAAGTGTGCAGAGCAGCGCTCTCTCCGCCCACGACTCAGAGGCGAATTGTTACTGACCTACTCGAATTCTGCAGGAGAAAAGCCCTTGAAAATGACACAGGTTATGTGAATTTAGCTAAAAACTTCATAATCACAGTTTAAAGACCACTAATAACACTTTAAGTAGTAAAAAAAAAACAAAAAAACAACTGAGGTGGGACTTCAAGCACAACATTAATATTTATTTTCTTTATAAAGATGGTAGTATGGGTGGCAGGAGACAGATTTCCATGCTAAAACAGCTGTAAGTATGCCGTAAGTACGAGGGTTGAAGGGCTAGTAAGCAGCGCAGCAGTCAATTTGATACAGGCCCAACACCAAAGCTTTAAGGATGGGCACCCTAACCAAGCTAAACAGGCAAAATCACATACAACAAACCCCAACATTCAGGGAGGATACACCTGTAGATGAAAGGCATGGATAACCAGTAAAACTAGACTCTCTCCACTCTAAAACTTAGTTTTAAAGTTTTCTGTGTAAAGCCAAATTAGTAGCTGGTTTATGAAAAACTGTATGTCAGCAGAAGCATCCTCTATTCCTATCTAAACTACCAGATACAGAGTTGGTAACCTAAACTACTTGGAGTTTCCATTACACAGTGATAGTCTCATTTTGTGGGAGCTGCCCAGTACTACCAGAGAATCACCACAGAGTCATTTCAAATCTTCCTCTTACATATGGGCACTTCAGTATCCATTGTCGAGCCAAGAGCAGAGTGGTTCTCATTTTACTCCCCCGGCTCAAATATTCCCTGATGGTTTTGAGGAGTCAAACTGGCAACCCTGCAGACACAGAAACCCCCCCACCCCGCTCTCAAGCCTTCAGGCCACAGCTGCCCTCCTCCGTGATTTGTAATTTCTTCCTGCGGAAAACTGGATGCTTCACAACATAAAGTGCTCTCCAGATGTTTGAAGTGTCATAACATAACAATGCAGGTGGCAGACTGACAGTGAGGTGGATTTTACTCCTCAGCACTGCCAGGAAGTATCTCCTGTCAAGACTCCCATATGAAAAAGGTGTTTTTTTTTTTCATTCCATGCTGTTTAGGTGGTTACTGAAGTCCCTGGAGTAAAATGCATTTGTGCACGTATCCTATTTATTTCCTCTCTGTTGTCATAGTGACTATGTTTTTATGGGTGCATGCCGCTACTGTATTTGTTGATGTTTTATAAAACTGTCATTGAGAATGACCACTAAAAGGCTCTTTAAAGACATGGCTCACCTCTCACCCTATCTATTTTTCTACTGACTCTGCTTTAGTATCTGCCGTAATAACGCCGCGCGCTTACTGTAAAAGCAAATCAATGCAGTCATGCTCTGAATCAACACGTCTAATGTTGTCAAGTGTGGATGTTGTCAGTGTCACAGGGAGAGCCACAGGGAATACGAGATATTTGTCAGAAATGTTATCTTCTGTCTCTTTAGCGAGTGTCACAGTCAACCGAGAGCACGGACAAACCAGCAGCCGCCTTCTGTAGACCTCCCCGTACGACATTAACCCCATGACACCGTCAATTACCCACTGATTAATCTATTTAAAGAGAAAATGTCTGTTTGTTGCCATCTGTCAGTTCTGGTAATAAACAGAGCTAACTCATTCATTATCACATTATCATGTTTCCTCATGAAAATAGTCACATTTTTAAGCTTTTTGCCCTTTATTAATAAACTAATTGTAAATTTTGAAAATGAAATCAAGCAAAGAAGATCCAATGAAATCACTGTTGTGTTTTTTTAAGGGGCTGTCAGTATGACCAAGTTGATCCAAATGTGATTTGAGTCAGAAATTAACATATTTATTTATTTATTGTTTTTTTTTTTTTGTCCCTTGCAGCACTCTTTGGGCTCTATTTTCATGCCCGCAGCGACGCGGCGGAGGGTGGCGAACCCTGTGCAGTGGTATTTTCGTTTGGCGGAGCCCGGTGCACAGCCAGTTTGGTACTTTCATGGGCTGAGGCGCACCGAGTTCCGCCAAGCTGGGCGTGGTGGCGTGGCAGGGGGAGGTTTCGACAGAATCAGCTGGCGCAGTGACATTTTCGTTCTCAGCGCCGTGAAAAGTGCGCTGAAAGCTCAAACCTGGTCAGCTTTCAGCGCAGGCAGAGCGCAGCTGGTCTAGTGATATTTATCTAGACCTGTGGCGTATCGGCATACGTCACCGATGCCTCACCGGCAGGTTTCCACAGTGTCAGGCACATTTCAGTGACATCACTTGATCTCTTTAACTACTTCACGAAAATTGTAATACGCATGGCCGGTGGCAGATTTAAAGGTGAGGAGAGGAGCGGTTCTGATTGGCGCAAACAGGTCTCGGCTGTGTTAAACCCACTCCACGCCCTCTCTACAATTTTCGCCGCTGGGACCAAACTGTGCTTGGGCACACCTTGTTGGCATGGCAGACCTGACTTACGTCACCGGCGAGGAACGAAAATAGAGCCCCTTAACTAAACCGCTGCAGTGTCTTCTTCCTTCCTGCACGTTGTGTTTTTACAAAACGACCCAGATGGCTCATTTGAGTCAACAGTAACAAACACTTTTTGGCAAATAGAATTAAAACATCCCAAAGGAGCTAAGCATATACAGCAGGTATAAACAACAGCAGATTACTTAATTTGAAGCATGTGAATCAACACAAACTGTGGATGACACCAAATCACATTCTTGCTAAAGAGATTCCAAGTGCAAATTTTCCTCCATATCACATCTCACTTTATTGCTGTGATTGTAGGTGAGGTTTTTCTGCTTTCCTAATCAATTTCTTGGAGCAAGTCTCAATACAATGATGCCTGACTCAGTTTTTCTTTTATATGCCTCTCATTCCTCAGTTTTTAACAGCACTCTGAGTTAGCAGAACCACAGGGTGACTGTGTTTGACTTGTTTATTACTAAAAGGTGCAGCACATTTTGTACATAACACTCCTACACATCTTATCCTTTGAAAATAAAATCAGACACTGTATTTCACAAAATAGACACTTTAATACTGTCTCTGTCCTCTGAGGCATGATTTCAGACCTGTTGATGTGACACTGGGTCTAAAAGCTTGAGTCATAAAAGACATTAATGCTGCATTTACGTGATCAAGACTCAAGAAGAATTGATTTACATTGTTATTATGGATTCAACAAATCTGTGCCGATTAACTGCGGTTTTAAATATTCGTTTTCAGCTCCAGTTATTCTTATATTTGAAAACCGAAGAAAAGACTGGATTATCAACTAAATCTGTCTTAGGCTACGTTCACACTGCAGGTTATGATGCACAATTTGAATTTTTTGTTAAATCCGATCTTTTTGTGCGGTCGTTCACATTACAACAATAAATGCTGCATCTAATGTGAACAGAAAAGCACAAATTGCTTTCTGCCCCTGTTTGTGTTGAACAATGGTGACGTTTGTCGCATATTGATAATAGATAGGTTGGATGAACGCGACCTGAGTGTCCACTCTGCAGTCACATCGGATACATATCCGATTTATTTCCACATACAAAAGAGGCCTGGGTCCGATTTGAAAAGATCAGAATTGCACTGTTCACACTTGCATGAAAAAATCAGATATGTGTCATGTATGGTTAGAAAATGGGAATTGACCCGCAGTGTGAACATAACCCTATACAGTACAGGCCAAAAGTTTAGACACACCTTCTCATTCAATGTCTCATTTTTTATTTTTTATATGACTATTTACATTGTGAATTATCACTAAAGGCATCAAAACTATGAATGAACACATGTAGAATATTGTACTTATAAAAAAAACGTGAAACAACTGAAAACATGTTTTCATATTCTGTTTTCATATTCTGGTTTAAAATAGCCACCCTTTGCTCTTGATGACAGAAGTACATAGTGATTGACTCTGTCAGTCATGAAGTATCCCTGACAAGGCACTCCTGTGAAGTAAAAACCATTTCAAGTGACTACCTCATGAAGCTCATTGAGAAAACAGCAAAAGTTTACAGCGCTATCAAAAAAGCAAAGGGTGGCTACTTTGAGGAATGTAAAATATAAAACATGTTTTCAGTTATTTCACACTTTTTTCTTAAGCACACGGTTCCACACGTGTTCATTCATAGTTTTGATGCTCTCACTGAGAATCTACAATTTAAATAGTAATGAGAATAAAGAAAATGCATTGAATGAGAAGGTGTGTCCAAACTTTTGGCCTGTACTGTACGTAGGTTTATTTCATGTAATTCTATCATGAAGACTTGCATATGCAGCATGTTGTGTTGCATAGGGAACCCCTGTATCCAACTGGAGAGTGGGGATGGTTTAGAGATCAAGATATCTTGCACTTTATGTGATTGCTGTTTCTCTTCTGTTGTGTGTTCAGTCAAAAGACCTAATAAAACACCTGAAAACACAAGTTTTATTTCACCTACTGTGGACTTAATAAGGTCCTAGGGTGGCCTATCAAAATTTAATTTTATTTAAGTAGGTCTGACGGCAGCTGATAGATGGCAAATGATTAATAACTCTCTTCACAGGATAACCAAAAACAAATGATTGTGCTGCGTTCGGTGCTGAAACTGTAATTGGACTGCTGTTGTACAATGCCTCTATTTCATCATAGGGAGGATCAATACTTCCGAGAAGGGAACCCATGAAATTATCCCGGAGATCAACCTGTACGCTCCAGAGCTGACAGTGCCATGGGCGAACAGCGGAGAAACACAGCAGCCTTGAATTTAATAATGAAATGTTTTCACTCTGACCACAAATATTACTACGTTTAAGCATATAACGAGCACCTTGAAAGACAGGGCGCCCTCAGTGCGCTTGAGAAATGCACTGCTTTGTCTAGACCTGTTAAAATTTTATGCTTCAAAATAAAATTCATGCTCTGTTGTGGGAATAAATATTCTTTCGTATTTGTAGGAAAGAGAAGAGGCAAGAACTACATTTTAATAGTGTTTTAAGAATAACAGCCTCGTAATAAAATTTATACAGTTTGTTTTTATTAATATCCACAAGGAAGCGTTAAATTTAGAGCTTGAGCACGGAGCTTAAACTTTGAAGGACTCAAAGGAAATGGGGAAATAGCTGACAATATATGTGACTGTTTTATTAATATTGTCAGTCTGCTGTTGTGGCTTGTGTTTTTTTATCTTTTTTTACTGAGTCAGTCTGTGTTGTTTGCATAAAGAGGCACTGGAAGTCAGTCTTAGTTCAGAGCGCTGACACAAACCAGTATATCCAGTAATGCAGCACTTGCTTCAGCTTACACTGTTGTGGTCTTTGACAAGTTTATCAAAGTTCCCACACTTTTCCATCTGTATGAGCTCTCTCTTGACTTCACAAACTCTGACTTTACAACATCT